CATCACCCATACCAAAACCTCTCACATCATCATTATCATCATCGTTGTCGTCATCATCATCAATAAGTAATGATATTTTCTTGTTTTAATAATCATAATTTCCAATAAAATATTTAGTAGACATATTGTCATTGTGTTTTATTGTATAATGTTGAGGAATTCATATTGTGATTGGAGCATCACTAGTATCAACATTGATATGTAAATGAATTTCTTTATCCTCTATTTGTTCATGCATACTAAACACCTGTAACGCCAAGGCATCATAAAAAATTATATTCCCTTTATCATCCCTAATTCAAAAGCTATATTTGTTTACATCATATACTTGCTTGCATAAGAATAATATGTCAATGTAAGATATATATATTCATAATATATACCTTGTATGACATATTCTTTGCTACCATTATCAATAGTAACAATTAGCATTTTGTAACCTACAAGGATAAAATGTAACATCCCACATCGAAATAAGAGTGTTTAGAGCTAGGGTTTATTAAGACAGTTAGTACCTAACCTTGTAGGATGTGTTTTGGGGCCTGTAGATTGCTAGGAACAAAACCATGAGGCGTGAAAGCCGGGTTGGGCTAAGCCATAGTTGACAATATTCTGCAAGCTGGAATGGGTCAGGCCTTACATATGATATCAAAGTTGAGGACGACTTGTTCTTAAAATGGAGGGATTGTAACATTCCACATCAAGAGAAGAGTGTCCAGAGTTAAGACATAATAAGATAGTTAATACCTAATTTTGTAGGATGCGTTTTGGGGCTTGTGGGCTATTAGGAACAAAATCACGAGGTGTGGAAGCCGAGTTAGGCTAAGGCATAGTGGACAATATTCGGTAAGGGGAGTGAGCCAGGCTTTACATAAAACCTATGGGTTTATTGAAAAAAAGTCAAATTAAAGATGTTTGCACATTAATATGGGTTTTATTTAGGGTTTCCAAACATAGTAATTGGTTATGTTCAACAAAGCTTAAATAAGACTTAAATAAAGATAAGAATCAACTAAACACTTTTAAGCAAATATTTTACAATTAGGGTTTTAGTGAATAGTAACACTATCTATTGGTTTGTTGATTTAGGTTTTTTTTTTAAGGATTTGAAAGATCTATAGTGGTTGCTTTTTCACTACCAAAACATGTTTGGGATTCTATTTTTTTATTGGTTTCATCAAACAATTAAATTTTTTTAGGGTTTTTTGTTCATCCATCAAGATTAACGTTTCCCACTCTGAAATTTTTGAATCTTTTTTATTTAATTGAGTAATTAAAAATGTTTCACATAGAAAAAGAAAACGTAATAATGATAATCAAGTATTTACAATTATCTCGATATGATTTTAAAATTGCAACATACTTATTCCTGGTCTCTTCTATGAAAGCAATGAGATATTTCCAGCACTGATGTTCTATCAACCCTGTTACACAAGAAAAAACTCGTTAATAATAGATTTCAAGAAATTATGCTCAATCTTTTCTCATTTAAGTGAAATAATCATGTTCAATTTATGAGAGAGAGAGAGAGAGAGAGAGAGTATGTGAGGTTTAGATTCATTTCATGAAAGAGAGGGAGAGATTTGTGTCATTTGTTCTATCATTTGTGAGTTTTTAGATATAATATATATAAGGTTAAGATAGACATTTCACCTAATTTGAAATTTTGCGTTGAACATAGAGGTAAGTGTAATATTTATACTATGAAGCCAAAATGTAATTCACGTCAAACTATAGGATGTTAAATGTATTTCTTTCTAAAAAATATAAGATATTATTGAAAAGTGATTTGACATCATGTAATTTATAGCATTTTTTTAATATGTGTGAAAATAGAAATGATATATAAGGAGTTGTAGTAATAATAACAATAATAATAAAAGAAAGGGTAAAAGAAACATCCCAAACCCATATAATAGGCCATATGCTTTATTAGTCTAGGTTTAGGCACCGTTTGTGTTTGTAGTCCAGCCATGTTTTTTAAAAATATTGATTTTTTTCTTTAATTTTTTTGTGTGTCTTTAGATCATTTTGATCTGTTGATGTCAAAAAAAAATTAAAAATAAAAAAAAATTATTTTGATGCATTTTCAGGCAAAATATATTTTGAAAAGCAATCTCTATAACAATGTCAAACACTATCTTAACTGTATCGTGGGCCGTGTACAACATATTAGAACAATTACATGGATTTTAGTTAAGGGTGCTAGTTCAAATAATTGGGTTACGATGGTGATAGAAAAAGATCACAATTTAAAAAATGTATATCTGTTATATCAATTTTGTCTGTTATATCCTTATAATTTTTTTAATCATGTGTGACATATATATTATTTTATTATTTAATATTCATATTCATACCTTACACACACCCACACACCCATACACACACACACACATTATTTTATTGTTTTATTAAATTATAAATAATAGTAAATAATGGATAAATTATGAATAAAAAAACTCATATTTGGATACTGATTGTGCATCAAAAGTATCATTAAGTCTCTTATTTTACATAACTATATATTGTTTTTATTTAGGTTTTTATAACAATTGATGTGCTTTTTAGTAATGAAGTTTCTTTTAATGTTTTGCTAGGTTTTTGGAGCTTAAACGGATTATGTCAGAAAATTTAATGTTGAAATTCAGAATAAAAAATTGAAGAGAAATTTAGTTGAAGTTTGAAGCAAATCTTGGTTCAAATAAGTGCTCTAAATTTTCCCTAAAAAATCAATTCTATTCCAATTCTAGAAAAGATTATCATATAATCTATTTCAAGTCCAAACTTGCCTTATATTGTGTGCAAACTTAAACCATCAAACACTCAAGGTTTCATTGTCAATCTTAGCCCAAATAATAGGTACATTTATATCCTTATATGATGCTTAAATTCAGCCCCAAATCAGCCTTTAAATCAGCCCAAACACAATCCATGATCTTATATGTCCACATAACAAATAACGATTGATTTATTTTGGATAATTTATTGATCAAAGAAGGCAACCACATGGATGAAAAGTTGGAGGGAAAATTATTATATTATTTTAGGTTAAAAATAAGAAAGAGATAGCTCATAAATGAATAAGAAAAACATGCACCAAAGTGGTTGCAAAGTTGACCTGGTTTGATTTTTCAGAACACCTTTCAGTTTTTTACCCATAACTTTTAACTCAAATGTCCAAATGAGCTGTTTTTTAGTGATCCAGAAAGGTCAAAGAAGTTCCTATAAATATGTATCTAATAGACATGTCCAAAAAAGGCTTATAGGATGGTCTAAATTGCTATCCAAAGTTAGCATCATATTTGTGTCCGAATTTTTATTGAAATTATGTTGTGTTCTTCTTTGTAGTTTTCAGTTTTTTAGTTTGTAAAACTTATTATTTCAGTTTGATTCAAGTTATTTTATATTTATTAAAATGTTGTTATACATAATCATGGTTGGCTAATCTCCTTCTTGGATCCAAATCAAGGATGATGGTTGTTGAGATGCGTTCTTTAAGATATGAATGAATCTTAATGTTTATCTTCTCATTTTCTTCATGAATGTTTTATTATTGCAAGGAAATTTTAGAAATCATTTAGGTAATGTTATAATCTTGAATTTTTATGCACAAACTTTAGTTTTGGTATAGAGATTGCTTGATTCAATGTTTTACTTAATGTAAAAGTACTTGTTCATTCTTAAACAATAATCAATCTTTATCTTTTTAAATTTTATTGTAATATCTTCCGATCTAGTATTACTATTAGTGATATTAGGTTGAGTTATCTTATATATCTTGAAGGAATCACTAATACATTACCATTAAAATTGATTTCGACCAAGACTTACTTTTTCTTGTTATTTAAAATCTATTTACACGTTTTTATTTTTGAAAACAAATCCATCAATTATTTTCAACCAAGTTATTGTTAATTTAATTTCTCTTGAGTTTTTTTATTACCTAGCTTAATTTCCAGATCTAGCTCTATGTGGATAAGACCTTGATTTTACCGAGTTAATTTCTACATCGTATACTCGTGCAGTTGCGAGTTAAAATAAACCGATCATAAAAAGTGATCAAGCAAATACCCATTATCATCTTTACACATCGATACAATTTTAAATGATCTTTATAATATTAAGAAACATTCAAGCTATAAAAATACTTTTATTTTAAATTCAAAAGTTTCAAAGTTTTTAACTTTTAGAATTAGACCATTAGGAGTTTAAAATGTTTCCACTATCAATGTTGGAGATAATGCATGATAAGCGTAGCAAAAGGCTGATAATAGGAGGTGAAACCCTTCAAAAAACATAAACTGGATATTAACGATCATATAAAAAACTAGTTTATTTTCAAAGCACCAATCTTTTAGAATGAGGATGCTTAAGGTAATTTCCATTTTTTTTCCCTGATAGTGAAAACTTTAATACATCCTTATATGTTTCAACATTATCTTTTTTATGATTTTCTTTTCAAAATTAGCATAATTAATTAAAAATATAGGTGAAATAACATAATTGAATTTTTTTTAATAAAATATCATAGTTTATGTGTTGCAATTAAAAAACATGACTTTTATAATCTGTCGCTATTTAAAATAACATGATTTAAAAAAAATATTAAATAGGCATAAGTGAGGAGAAGAGAAAAAAACAAAGAAATAAAAAATTCTAAAAATACACTAAAGTTTTAATTATGATACCATTGTATTGTCAAAAAAAATCTTAATAGGATAAATTTAATGACACCAAACAAATTTATCAATGATTGCTCGAATGAGTTACATTTATTATCAAAAATAAATAAATGAACCACCCTCTATCTTTGAATGGCTAATGTAGCACGTTTGAATCACTATTTTTTTATGCTATTATTTTTTTATGCTATTAATGGTATTATAATTAAAATTTTGATATGTTTTTGGTGTTATAATTAAAATTTTAATATGTTTTTTATTTTTTATTTATTATTTTTTATAAAAAAATTATTATTATAAAAGTTGCATTTCTAGTTATTTTGCCAGTATTTTTTTTTAAATGTGCTAAAAATAAAAAATAGCCCTCTTTTACATGGAAAATCGCAGTGGATATTCCGCTGGCAATCGTCAGTGAATTCTAAGAATTCCCTAGTGGTCAACTTACTGAGATAATTTAACAAGCCCAACAACAAGCCCATGCTTTCCTTTTTTGCTCAAGGATGTTCTGTCAATGATACTGAATGCCTTCTGCTTCTTGAAGGAGTAGATTTTGTCTCCTCTGCAGTGGCAGAACCCGATGAATCGGAACTGCTAATCTCACCATTTCGCTCTTTGTTTGACCACAGCTTCGAAAAGATCTTTGACATGACTAAACCTTTCAGTTTACCAGCTGCAACATCATTTTTGGCGCCATCATTCAAATTTCTATCGCTGCCACTGCCCCCTAGCCTTAGAGCAGCAAGTTCTCCTTTCAAAGCCTTGACATCTTCAGCTGTTGGCACAGCATCCCAGTCCTCTTCTGTATTGGTTGTCGATCTTGAGCTCCCATGAGACCCACCCGGGAGTAAGGCCCTAATAGACCCAGGTAGTTCTTGAGTGCTGTTGTCTACAGCTAATGTTGCTTGCCTAATCTGCTCAAAGAAGAGAACCTGTACAACAACTCGCAAGGGTAACCGCTCATTTTGCACAGCATGCATGCACGCGTCTGCTGACAACTTCCTGCAATCCATCAACCTACAAATTCTCTTTCTTTCACTCTTGCTGATCCCAGGGTGTTCCTGCACCAACAATAACAATTAGTCTAAGCACTTATAAACCAACATTAAAATTCCAGAGATCATGTATTAGTGGTGATCTCGCATCTACCCAGGCATTCACACACACAATGACATAACTGCTTATGTGCATATCTCAACATATATATATTGAAGATCAATAAGTGATGCTTATATAAAAAATGAAATTTTAGAAACTTACCTTAAGATACATATCGATGGCGCGGTACAATCCATCATGTGATGCTCTCCCAAAGCTTGATACCGTGTTAGCAAGATTGACAAACTTTGAGAGAGGTAAATTGGGATCTCGGGCAATTTCAGCAAGATAACCCTCGACCAGCTTTGCCACGAGCACTTTGGAAGCATCTGATGCAAGCTTTGGGCTTCTATTGTCCTGGAAGTCACCGTCTACAAGAAGAGCATTCTTAGCATTCTGTTCATAAGCCACAAACTTCTCTACTAGGGCTTGCACAATATCAACATTATACATTGTTGTTTCCCTTGTTGAAGATTGAATCAAAAGATCAGCCACTGTAACCTCATCGAGCTGTTGACTTATTCTTCTCATCAATTCATTCCTTTCCGTTTCTTCACATTCTAACAGTATTGCTGCTCTTAACAACCTAAGCATGAAACCACAGGGAACACTGCCTTTCTCCGTGGGCAGCATCCAGACAATGGTCTCAGCTAATGACCTGTATTTTGTAATATCGCCACTCTGCAAAATTCCCTTGCTAAAACCTGGCAGTCTTCTCAAGGCATATGCAATCAAGGCTTCTCCAATTAAATCACTGGAGACTCTTCCTTTTGTTTTTATTGTTGTAATTACCCTTTTGTATAAATCGATTTGAAGTTCACAAAGATCTTCTACCCACCAATCTTTAGGAACTACTTGCGGTCTTCTTACACCATTCCACAGAGGATCTTTCCCACTCTCAGATGGGAGCTTTTTCCTGTTATAGGTGTATGACCACTCCACCTTGGTAGTATCCATGCAAGCCTTTGAAGCTATGGAATCAAGACAATAGCTAACCAACTTTAATTCTTCGGCCCATGGAAGAAGAGATTTTGTGGTTTGAAGGATGATGATAGAATCTTTCCAGCTGCGAAAGATGCTGGAATTTAGGAAGATATCAATCTTGTAGACAAGGTTTCCTTTCTCAACACTTTCATACATCTCAAGGAACTCTGCTGCACACCGAGCTGCAACCACATTGTATGCATTGAGAGTGACAGTCATACCATAACAGAACTTTGCACATATCTCAAAAGCAGCAGGTCCACCAGGAATCTCCGGGATGAGAATTTCATCACCATCATCACTTGTGCTCGCAACCAGCTTCTGCAGATGTTCACTCTTGGATAGCAGTGGAAACTAGAGAAAGATGAGAGGAAATCCCATAAACCCTGGCAGTCAGTACCAGAACAATCTACCTAGCAAGATCTATGATTTTGAAATTGAATCATTATCATTAACTCGTTTTTTCATAGTTCTATGTACAACTATTATTCCTTAAAATCGTCCAATAATGCATACCTTGTGCAGATAGAATTTCACATCCCCAATATTAATCACCATGTCCGTTGCCACCTCAGTTGCAACATACCTGAAAAACAGAAGTTTCTCTCATCATGTTGCAAACAAATTTGTATAACTCATATAGAACAACGCTAGAGCTAGTGATAAAAACAGAGAAACATGGATATAAACGTCTTCTTAGTTTTAAATATGAGAAGGCAAGAACGAGCTTTTGCAGAAAGGGAATGGATTAATTCTGGATTATCAGGTTGAGTTAAAATGGAATATTAGAGAAACCTCTTGTAAAAAAAAGATATTAAAGTGTTATATCATTTGAGTAAAGAAATAAACTACTGTTAACACAATAACTTGAGCACTGTTTTGAAGAGGGCTTTACTATTTGATAAGTCATGCCTTCTCAACTTTTGAAGGAATAGCAGACACTGTATTTTATTGCAGTACAGGGAGAATCTAGTGTCTTAAGAGCTGATGGGACACAACAGAGAGAGTGGAACCCACGACAGAAGGATTTTGGCTCATACAAGAACAACTTATTTGCCAAATAGCACCTAACATTCAAAGAAGAATGGGCAGCACACCATTACCAAAACATGCTTTCTTGATAGTAAAATGTGAAAAACGTTATGGTAAACAATACTTCAAGTCAGCTTAGATGAAATTATATAATTTTAATGAATATGACGCCCTTTAGTACCTGGCACAAATGTTATCTAACTAGTATTTTATGGAAGTCTTTTCCTACTCGGCCCGAGTTGTTATGTTCAATGAGAAACCGATGCATGCATGCTCTCACTTAAAAGGTTTAGTCTTCTTGTATTTGTGGTGCAGTATGTATTTTATCCTACTCATTCTTGAAAACTTGCTTAATAAAAAACTAGAACTTATAATTTTTTTTAAAACGCAATTGGAGAAGCTATTGCAATGTCAAACACGCACTTAGAACATGTTTAACATTGTAGTAATATTTGCTTTTCAAAGTTCAAAGTCTAAAGACCTCATGTATCTTCAGAAGCATATCACTAGAAACGGACAAACTATCTAAAACCATAGTTGACAGCACCAGATTGAAATGATCTCTCCATCAACTTAGAAGCCAAGTTTGTTCCACATCAGTTGATACTGACAAGACTTATTTTTAAAATGTCCTCAAAATACATAATAACTAAGCATCCACCAAGAAAATTTTAAAAGCAGTGAAACAAGTACTCTTCCGTAGAATCAATACCCTTCAAATATGAAAAAGAAACTGAACTGGGAAAGAGCAACTGAACTTAGAAAAATTAAAATCCTGATAACAGAGCTAAGATTGAAGTTAATTGCTCAAAAAACAACATAATTTTTTTATAATGGTCTTCAGCAGAGGTAAATTGATTAAAGCTATTGTAAATTAGCATCTAGTTTAAAGTGGGATATCAAGACTTACCTGATGTTGTCCCCATCGGCCTGAAAAGAATCAGGCTTGGATCCAAGTTTCATAAATTTCATATTTGCCTAACAAAGATAAGTCCCTCAGCTTCACCTTCAGAAATGAAAATTCCCAAACTCCACGAAATCCAAAACTTTGCAAGCTAAAATCGCCAGGAAGACTAAGGGAAAAAAAAAAATGTTTTGACGAGCTTCGTAGTATGAACGGAACTTGCCCACAGAACGAGGTCGAGGAGGGAAAGAGAGTAAATGGGGATAGTGTGGTTTTGTAACAAAGTGAAATGGTTGCTAACGAAAATGGTAACAGAGTCCAAGGACACCGGACAGAGAAGGTTAATCAAGGAGACATGGCCTCTAAACTCTCTCAAACATGATAAATAAAAGAAGAGACACTCCCACTTGCTCAAAATTGACACCACCGTCCCAAGTCTTATTTCATTAATTTATCATCTCTCTCTCTCTCTCTCTGCTTGCCTTTTTTTTTATATGTGTATATATATATATGTATATACACACCTAGTATATAATCAATAGATCACCCACAGAAACACTAGAAAAAGAGACACCATTCAATTTCGGGACCCCAGCCCAAATATCCACATTCTTCTACAAATCTGAATCCCCTACCGTCACCTTTCAATTTAAGCTACAGAACACCTGCAACGAGAAGACAGCATATCTTGGTATTAGTTCAGGGAGCCACCAAAACAGTGGACAAAAAGCATCACTTTTGAGGGGAATTGGATTATACAAGAGAGAGCATCACTACCAACAAAGTTGTTTCAAAGTGGAGGTGAATATGTAAGAGTTTTCAGAATCAAGTCAAGAAAGTGACACAGAATCCGTGTTCATAATTTAACACCACAATGAATAAATTCAGCTTCAAGAATTTGAAAACTTCCCAACATAAGGAAAGGTATCTCATAATTTAAATACAAACAAAAATTATTTCAATTACAGTAGAATTTTGATGGAAACCAGCTTCAATTAATGCTCATAAAAGGATAAACAAGCAGGAAAACGTAAAAAGGAAGAAGCAAACGAAGAAATTTGTAAGAACTTAATATAAAAAAATAACGAACAGCAATACTTGATTGACAAGATCATCAACACAAAAAAGCAGAATCAAAGCATGAGAGTACATCATATTTTCGACACTTTCACATATGGGGAAATGTCTCTCTAGAGACCAATCTCCCATTAAAAAACTGTCACAAGCATGTATGCACCTTCCGTGTTTCTTATTTATTAGCTTGTGGTCGAGAACCAAAAACAAGAATCAAATAGAAGCTTGGTAAAAACAGGTGCTTAAACACACAACATTCAGTGCATGAGAGAGACTTAAAGAAAAGGAAAGGAAAGGAAGAAACCCCACAAACCACAAAATGCACCCAACAAAACCCAAAAAACCTTCCATAAAAAAGATGAGCTGTTCCTCATGTTTGACAGCAACCTCTGCGTGCTTTGCCCACACACTCACATAAAAAGCCAAATCCCAGAATGTCCCATCTCTCTTACTCGCTTTGAATAAGCACCACCGCCCCCACCATCTTTCTTTTCATGTATCTTTTCACTACTCCTATGTCTTGAAACCTACCTAAGCTAAGCACCCAAATAAAAACAACTCATAATTAAAACGACTTTCTTTCACTTTAAAAGCAAAACAACTTCATTTCTTCGATTGTTTTCGAGTGATGCATACATGCACAAACTTTATGGATGGAAATAAAAGTAAACGGCCATGATGATTCAAATTTAATACAGTGGATTTTGTCTTAAAAAATAAAAACCTCTGGCACATGGAGTTTATAAGTGAGTTATGTACTTCATTTTAAAACATATCAAATTAGTCTCTCAAGAGCTACTCTCTCACATTCAAACTTAGTCTTATGATAAATTTTGAAGGAGAGAAGTTATAAAATATACAAATAAGGCTTTCTAAAATATATGATTTATAAGAAACACAAACCCAGAGTCATGATAGATCATGAAAATCTCCTAATCATCATAAGAATTAAATTAACTCATATTCATTTAGGTTCGGCTTTATCATGTAATCTAACACTTTATTGAAATTAAGGTAATTAATTTAACTCTTTAAAGCCTTAAAAGCTTAACTACTCCAATAAAACTACTATTAAGTTAGACTTGGGGTGTCAATAATCCTTAATAAGACAACACCCCTAAAAAAAATATACATTTAGATCTCATGCAAGCCTAACCTTGGACCGGTTAGACAAGCCTTGAAGCCAATTGCTATCTCTAATACATTATCTCTTAGGTTAACTTTGGTCTACTTGCTATCAATTATGGAGGTAAAATGTACACATTAAATAATGACATATCTTCTAGTTATTTATTTTTTAAATATCAATTATTTTATCATTATTAAGAATATACATATCACAAGACTTAAAATAAAGACATCTTTTATAAAGAATCTTTGTCACTTTTATTCTATCTTCTAATAGTCCAAAATTATATAATTTATAAGTATATCAACTATCATCCATTTGTGATACTTGAATACAAAGTTATATAAACAATCTTGAATTCCAAGATAAATAATCTTGTTCTAATGAATAATCATCTTTTATATAATTTTATTTGCAGCAAACCTCCCTTTTCTTTTAAGTTTTACATGCACAAATATAAAGTTAAAATTATTTTTAATCACACTTAAACATAATATTTTAAGCCCAATAAAAATTTATTTTACAAATGTTTTAGTAGCTCTAACCAAGTATCTTATACCATTTAATTCTAACCTTTAGTTTTAAAAGAAATTAATGATTTGTGAAGTTTTATGCAACTTGATATTAAGTAAACTAAATTAAAGAACAAAGTGGCCATTAATGAAGTTTTATGCAACTAGACTAAATTAAAGAATAACAAGGCCCTCACTATAGCTTTGTTTTCAATCAGCTCATTTCTTGTCTCTCTAGTCTTTTATAGCTAACCAAAATGAATGAGATAAATACATGTTAATCTGACAAGCATAACTTCAATGTTTTCTTTATGAAATACAAAATAACTTTTAAAGGAATTAAGCAACTCTCTTTTCTTGGAATTTTAAATTAAAAAATAATGAGAATAATGAAAAGAAAAATAAAGTTAAAAAAAACTATGTTTATCAAAAAATTACACATCCATTCTTTTCTCGTACTTCGATAATAATGGCATCCATCTCATTTTCAGAATTCTTTCCTATTTTTTTTAAGATAATTTTTACAAGGTAGATGAAAACTTGTCTTTTATTTTCTTATAAAATGTTAGGTTTCTTCTTCTTCCATTTTGAATTTAACCATATTCTATTCTATCATATAAAAATTATTAGCAATTGATATATTGATTTTTGGGATAATTAAAAAAAATCTCTTATAAATTGATCTTGTTTTCACTTTCCTGCTGTACTTTAAGAAATTACACTTTATATCCTAAGTTAAATAATTTTTTAGAAAAAAGATAAAAAAAACTACCCTTATATATAATTACACTTTATTCACTCTCGACCTCGCTTTATTAGAAAATCTAACATTTAAAGTTGCCAAATATTTTTTAAATGAATCTCGTGATCACATTGTCACATAATTGACATGCAAGATTGAAATAATCCTAGAAAGCTAAAAATCAAGTTTCATAAAAAGTGTGATATAAAAATTACCTGAATCAAAGTGTCAATACTATTGGAATGAATCATCACCCAACGATTAGCAAATTGTGAATTAGCAAATTGTGAATAAAAAGTATAAGGAAGAACACCACATAGTTATTTATACTTTGATAAGTTGTATTGTTCTTTGTCCTAACAAAGAAAAAAGTATTGCATCAAGCAAAACACAAGTTTATTAAAAACATTATGGCTTAAAAGCAAAAACTTAAGTACGAGGTAAATAAACCTATTTATACTAGGTAGAAACGCCTTAAACAAGTTTGAAAAAATAAAATAAAAATTCTAAATAAAATAGAAAAAAATCCTAAATCAATAAATTCTTGCATAGTAGCTTCTAAACCTTATCACAAAGCCTTTCTGATATTTGATTGATCTGAGATTTTAACCCAATATAAAAAAAAGACTTTTGAAAATTTATTGTAAAAGTTCAGCTTGATTCAACAGTCAGATAAATAATTATGTTTGTTAGTATAAAACATGTAAAACAAATAAGTCCAAAATCAACTTTTAACTTTCCTAAATAAGCATCGAAAACATTGTAATAACTTTAACCCTTTAGTTTCTTTGTAGAATATGGAAACTCCTAAAATATTATGGCATTAAATATAATTAACCCTCTTTTTATATATATACAGTGAGGATAAAAAAGAAATCCATATAGAAAAATGATTTTAGAACATTAAAAGCATCATTACCACACTTGGAAACTATTTTTCTATCCATTAAGAATCCTTATAGAACTATAAATAGTTCTAAAATTATCTGCTTAATATCCTTGCATTATTAGAAAAAAACTCATCTTCAAAATTCCTCTTCATAGTTGTTCCAATCCCTATCTTAACTAACAAACCATGTTAAATACCTTCTCCATTATGCAACACTCTCTCTCCACTACCATACTTTTCCCACGTCGATTTGATACAAAAAGGCAAGCATTCCAATTTGTAAGGTAAAATTAATGATGTTGAAGAATTGGTGAATGATACGAAAGAGGATAGGTTGTATGCAATATTTATTAGGTGTCTACTTCGAGACATGTTGATGGCAAAGATTATGAGTTATTTTTTAGGTTGATTTATGCTCTGTTTAGAGAGAAAGAGGGTTGTGATTTCTAGGTAGATTTTGGATTTAAAAGTGATTGAAATTTTTGGTGATTTAAGGGTTATTGTGTGATGTTTCAAGTTGAATTTTTTATGTTTTTTCAATTGGCAGAGTTTGGTATAATTTATGGCTTTTTATTTTATTTTTTTTATGAAAAGAGAGGTTGTTATTCTAGTGGGTTGTTCTGGTTTTAGGCTAAAATAATGGCAGGTGTTTGATGACTCAAGGAAAGGAAAGATTATATGATGTAGGCTTCTCCTTGTTGAGTTCCCATAGTGAATACAGTAATGGAAAAGAAAAGAATGACTATAATTGTAATAAAAGGGGTAGCGGATAGTTTTTTATAAAAACATTTGGTGGCAAAATTGTAATATTTAATGCAATGGCTCTTTAGTCATTAAAATGAATATAATAATAAACATATAAGTATTCAAAATTTTTTTTAACCTTTTCTTATAGGTGAGGTTGAGGATGTATTGACACGATAAAAGATTGATGTCTTCTCCCAAGTGCAGGAGTGTCAAAATAATAAATAACCCAACAATAACAGGGTGGAACCACAGGGAGGTTAATTATATAAATTATAAACAATAATAACAGTAACAACAATAACAACAATAATATTAGTAGCAATAATAATAATAATAATATAGTAGTAGTAGTAGTAGTAGTAGTAGTAGTAGTAATAATAATAATAATAATAAAGAAAGAGAAGAAGA